AGCAGCTGAGTGGCTTCAGCCAGAGAACAAAACTCCATCGACTTCCCGTCCACAGACAGAATGTGATCTCCTGCATGAAGAGCTCCACATCTACACAGAGAAGAAGAAGAAGAAGAAGAAGAAGAAGTTTAGGTGTCGGTGTCTGGGGATGAATCATTGGTCAGGGGTCAGAGGTCAGGCTACCTGTCCGCTATGCTGGCCGGCTTGACCTTGTCGATGACGATGACCTGCTTGCTGCAGAACATGGAGGTGGACAGGGCCACGCCCAGACTGGAGCCCGTTGCCTTGGCAACCTCCACCAGCAGCGGCCCTGACGCCGTGGCAACAGAATCTGACGAGAGGAACAACGAGTTCAGGAGCTTTTTAAATAAAGGTGTGATTAGTCTTATCGGTGGTTCAGTCAGTCAGGTGACTGGAGCGCCCCCCCCCCCACTGACCCATCACTGAGACGTCGTACTCCAGCAGCAGCGTGGCCTCCTGCCCGCACTGCTTCAGGATGCTCATGGCCTCTGACAGCGTGCTGCCGTGGAGACGGATCCCGTCGATGCTTAGCAACCGGTCGCCAGGCTTCACGGTTCCTTCCCTGGAGACGCAGAGGGAGAGAGGACGTGTTTCAGGTGCTGCCGAAGCTCCGGAGGGACACAAAGCCCCCAAGAGGGCAGAGGTCACGCACCTGTCAGCCGGGCCGCCGGGCCTGATGGTTGTTATGACGATCGGGCGGGACTTGTTCCTGTCTTCACGGGCTCCACCTGCACACACACACACACAGCAATGTGTTTACCATCACACGCACACACACACACACACACACACACACACACACACACACACACACACACACACGCACTAAGGTCCACTCACCTCTGATGACGAAGCCAAAGCTGTTTCCGTCTTTGTGAAGGGTGACTTCTACGTTCTTAAACATGACCCCTGACCCCTGGACCGCTGCAACACAGCAACACATCAGCATGACCTCTGACCTCCAAATAACGCTCCTAACCCAATGCTGTCCTTCTTACGTACGTGGAAGATGGATGTGCTACTACCTGCACTAGTACTACTACCTGCACTAGTACTACTACCTGTACGAGTACTACTACCTTCACCTGGCGGTACTTACAGAGCGGCGGCAGCTCGTACTCGACCTCCAGGACGACTCGCTCCCCCACGTTCTTCAGCAGGCTGATGATCTCGTCGTGTCTGAACTTGGACAAGTTGATGCCGTTAACGGCTCGGATGTAGTCGCCCACGTTCAGCTGGTCGCTCCTACGGGCAGACACACACACACGCACACACACACACACACACGTATACACACACACACACACACACACACACACACGCGTATACACACACACACACACACACACGTATACACACACACACACACACACACACACACGTATACACACACACACACACACACACACACGTATACACACACACACACACACACACACACGTATACACACACACACACACACACACACACACACAATCAACATGTGTATACACACTGTAGGGTGGAGGTCGTCCCTTTGAGGGGGTGGAGAGATGGTGCTCACCTGGCGGCGATGCCTCCCTGACGTAGGTTTGAAACCCGAGGCTTCCCGTCTTTGTCGATGCCGCCCGACACCGTCAGGCCGAGTGTCGTCCCCTCCTTCTTCATCAGCTCCACCACCGAGCACCCCCGAAACTCATCTACGTCACACACACACACAAGTCTGAGACACACTTCAGCTCTACTCCACCTCTACACCGCATCTCCACATCTACTCCACCTCTCCTCCACGTCTACTCCACCTCTACACCGCATCTACACCCCATCTCCACATATACTCCACCTCTCCTCCACGTCTACTCCACCTCTACACCGCATCTACACCCCATCTCCACATCTACTCCACCTCTCCTCCATGTCTACTCCACCTCTACACCCCATCTCCACATCTACTCCACCTCTCCTCCACGTCTACTCCACCTCTACACCGCATCTCCACATCTACTCCACCTCTCCTCCACGTCTACTCCACCTCTACACCCCATCTCCACATGTACTCCACCTGTCCTCCACGTCTACTCCACCTCTACACCGCATCTACACCCCATCTCCACATCTACTCCACCTCTCCTCCACGTCTACTCCACCTCTCCGCACTCTGACTTCCTGGTTTTGTCCCGACAGGAACAAAATAATAAATCTCCAGGGAGGCGAGAAGTCGTCCTGTGTTCTGTAGTCCATCAATATTTCATCAGACCACTGAAATATTGACGAGCATGAGACAGAGGAGAGGGAGGAGAGGAGAGGAGAGGAGATGGAGGAGGAGAGAGGGAGGAGAGGGATGGGAGGAGAAGAGACGAGAGGAGGAGAGGAGGAGAGGAGAGGAGATGGAGAGGGATGGAGGAGGAGAGGAGAGGGATGGGAGGAGAAGAGACGAGAGGAGGAGAGGAGATGGAGAGGGATGGGAGGAGAAGAGACGAGAGGAGGAGAGGAGATGGAGAGAGAAGGGAGGAGAGGAGATGGAGGAGAGGAGATGGAGGAGAGGAGATGGAGAGGAGAGGAGATGGAGAGAGAAGGGAGGAGAGGAGATGGAGGAGAGGAGAGGAGAGGAGATGGAGGAGGAGAGAGGGAGGAGAGGGATGGGAGGAGAAGAGACGAGAGGAGGAGAGGAGATGGTGGAGGAGAGGAGAGGGATGGGAGGAGAGGAGATGGAGAGGGAAGGGAGGAGAGGAGATGGAGGAGAGGAGATGGAGAGGAGGAGAGGAGAGGAGGAGGAGGGGAGGAGAGGAGGAGGGGAGGAGATGGAGGAGGGGAGAGGAGGAGGAGGGGAGGAGAGGAGGAGAGGAGGAGGAGGGGAGATGGAGAGGGAAGGGAGGAGAGGAGATGGAGGAGAGGAGGAGGGGAGGAGGAGGGGAGGAGAGGGAGGGGAGGAGAGGGAGAGGGAGAAGAGGAGAGGAGGAGGAGAGGAGAGGAGAGGAGAGGGAGGAGAGGGATGGGAGGAGAGGAGATGGAGGAGAGGAGATGGAGAGGAGAGGAGGAGAGGAGGAGAGGAGGAGGAGGGGAGGAGATGGAGGAGAGGGAGGAGAGGAGAGGGAGGATTCCACAGCTGACCTGGAATTCAGCTGATGAAACAGATCATGGATTCTTTGAAATGTCGTATTTAATATTAATCGAGCCTCGTTCATTCTTCTTCCTCCAAATAGACGCAACAAAGATCTAAAATATCAGATCTGACTCTGAGAAAAGAGAAAGACCGTCTGCTCTCCTCACATGACAGGGGGGAGTTTGGTTCTGCTATGAGGGCCAGCAGGAGATCTACAACACCAAAGACCGCTCCACCAGTTCCTCCTTCAACTGGGTCCTCAGCTGCACCAATTTCTCCTTAAACTGGTTCCTCGGCTTCACCAGTTCTACCTTTAACTGGGCCCTCAGCTCCACCAGTTCCTCCTTAAACTGGGTCCTCAGCTCCACCAGTTCCTCCTTAAACTGGGTCCGGAGCTCCACCTTAAACTGGTTCCTCGGCTTCACCAGTTCTACCTTTAACTGGGCCCTCAGCTCCACCAGTTCCTCCTTAAACTGGGTCCTCAGCTCCACCAGTTCCTCCTTAAACTGGGTCCGGAGCTCCACCTTAAACTGGTTCCTCGGCTTCACCAGTTCCTCCTTAAACTGGGTCCTGAGCTCCACCTTTAACTAGGCCCTCCGCTCCACCAGTTCCTCCCTCAAATGGTTCCTCAGCTTCACCAGTTCCTCCTTAAACTGGGTCCTGAGCTCCACCTTTAACTAGGCCCTCAGCTCCACCAGTTCCTCCCTCAAATGGTTCCTCAGCTTCACCAGTTCCTCCTTAAACTGGTTCCTCAGCTCCACCAGTTCCTCCTTAAACTGGGTCCTCGGCTTCACCAGTTCCTCCTTAAACTGGGTCCTGAGCTCCACCTTTAACTGGGCCCTCAGCTCCACCAGTTCCTCCTCAAATGGTTCCTCAGCTTCACCAGTTCCTCCTTTAAACTGGTTCCTCGGCTTCACCAGTTCCTTCTTAAACTGGGTCCTGAGCTCCACCTTTAACTGGGCCCTCAGCTCCACCAGTTCCTCCCTCAATGGTTCCTCAGCTTCACCAGTTCCTCCTTAAACTGGTTCCTCAGCTCCACCAGTTCCTCCTTAAACTGGTTCCTCGGCTTCACCAGTTCCTCCTTAAACTGGGTCCTGAGCTCCACCTTTAACTGGGCCCTCATCTCCACCAGTTCCTCCCTCAACTGGTTCCTCAGCTTCACCAGTTCCTCCTTAAACTGGTTCCTCAGCTCCGCCAGTTCCTCCTTAAACTGGTTCCTCTGCTTCACCAGTTCCACCTTTAACTGGGCCCCTTAGCTCCACCAGTTCCTCCTTAAACTGGGTGCTCAGCTCCACCAGTTCCTCCTTAAACTGCTTCCTCAGCTCCACCAGTTCCTCCTTAAACTGGGTGCTCAGCTCCACCAGTTCCTCCTTAAACTGGTTCCTCGGCTTCACCAGTTCCTCCTTAAACTGGTTCCTCAGCTCCACCAGTTCCTCCTTAAACTGGTTCCTCGGCTTCACCAGTTCCACCTTTAACTGGTTCCTCAGCTCCACCAGTTCCTCCCTTAACTGGTTCCTCAGCTTCACCCGTTCCTCCTTAAACTGTCTCTGAACCTTCTATGAGCTTCTAACAGTTGCTGACGGTGGATGTTGAAGGTACCTGGGATGCTCTGCCTCCTGATGGCCAGCGCTCCATCTGGAGGTCTCGAGCCGGCGGAGTGTTTGGTGTACGGCCCCTCATCTGGAAGACACAAATGAAATACACATGACTTCCCTCGTCCTCGAGGCTCTTCTGAATCTCAAACATTTGACTGGTGTGAAGTTCTCCCAGTTCCTCCCTGAGGTTCTAGTGAGTTGTGTCACTGGTTCTGGAGGCCTGGAAGCGGCTCTTTATGGCTCCAGACCAGTCCTCTAAAGCCTGGACATTCTCGGTTTCGAAGCTCCAGATTATTTTAAAAACAGCTCCAGTACAAAGTTGACCTCGGCTTTTCCATTGACCTCTTGACCCTTTGACCTCTTCCACAGTAAAATATGGATATTAAAACAGCACAAAAATACACGAGAACCGTTTCATTTCTAATGTGATTTGTAGCTTGCGGAGCGGTCCAGCGTTAGCGCTAGCGGCTAACGTTAGCGCAGTGTGCATCTCTTCTACAAGGCCACCAGACACCCAGGCGACCTGAAATCGGACTAAGTATCTCTTTCTTTAAACCAAGCTAGTCTGCTAAATTTGCTGTTGATTCTAGTGTCTTAAGTTAATTTGATTGCTGATTTGCTTTACTTTTTTGTCGTCTCACGACCAGTTCTCTTTGTTTGAAGTTATCTTGGTTGCTAGTTTGCTCAAGCTCTTTCAGTCTTTTAGTGCCAGTTTGTGTTCTAGATTCTACTATTAAGTTAACTGCCAGTGTGCCCTCCTAACTCTGCTAGGTTTTGACCTGATCTAAGTCTGTTTTGCCTTGTTTTCGGAAGCAAATAAGACTTGTATCCTTAAACTCTCATTTTGTCAAAAGACCACATGGTGTTTGTTCACTGATTAGGGTGTCAAGCTATTGGTGCTTTGCATTTTGAGGAGTTTCTGTCGAGGCCAATCGACCTTTTGTCTCCTAAACGACGGGGGAGCGGCCAGCGCAGCCGCAGCCGACTTCCACTAACGAGGGAGTATTTAACTAGAAATCGTAGGAAGCGTTAGCTTCAGCGTTATCTTATCCTCGCAGCACGAAGACGAGCAGAACAAAGACAAGGAGTCTTTCGTGGGAGTCAAGACGAGCAGAACAAAGACAAGGAGTCTTTCGTGGGAGTCAAGACGAGCAGAACAAAGACAAGGAGTCGTTCGTGGGAGTCAAGACGAGCAGAACAAAGACAAGGAGTCTTTCGTGGGAGTCAAGACGAGCAGAACAAAGACAAGGAGTCTTTCGTGGGAGTCAAGACGAGCAGAACAAAGACAAGGAGTCTTTCGTGGGAGTCAAGACGAGCAGAACAAAGACAAGGAGTCTTTCGTGGGAGTCAAGACGAGCAGAACAAAGACAAGGAGTCTTTCGTGGGAGTCAAGACGAGCAGAACAAAGACAAGGAGTCTTTCGTGGAGTCTTCGGGGCGGCTGAATGCGGCGCCTTCTTCTGCTATTTTTAATAATGTGTTTGACCCCTTCACCCGTGCCTGTTCGAATCTCTTCCCGCAGATACTACAGGCCTCGGGCTAGATCTGCTCTCTATCGTAACCTCTCCTCTCTCTCCTATCCCACCCGCTCCTCACACGTCCAGCACCTCGTCACAGGAGGTCTCTGGAACTGCCAGTCAGCGACTCGCAAGGCTGACTTCATCTCCGGCTTTGCTATCCAGCAGTCACTCGACTTCCTCGCTCTGACCGAGACCTGGATCACACCCGAGAACACATCCACCCCAGCCGCTCTCTCCTCCGCCTTCTCCTTCAGCCACACTCCCAGGCCCACTGGTAGGGGTGGTGGCACAGGTCTACTCATTTCACCCAAATGGAGCTTTTCTCTCTACCCTCTACCACCAGCCACCCCATTGTCCTTTGAATTCCATGCTGTAACAATCACTCACCCGGTACAATTAACCATCATTGTCCTCTACCGTCCGCCAGGCTCCTTAGGTCATTTTTTGGAAGAATTGGACATTCTCCTGTCTAATTTCCCCGAAAATGGTCCTCCGGTCATCCTCCTGGGTGACTTCAACATCCAGACAGAGAAGTCATCTGACCTCGTACACCTACTTTCTTCCTTCGCTCTGTCACTCACTCCCTCTCCTCCTACTCACAAAGCCGGCAATCACCTTGACTACATCTTTACTAGAAACTGCTCTACCACTAACCTCTCTGTAACTCCACTTCATGTGTCTGATCACTTCTTCATCTCTTACTCCCTTCCACTCTCTATAACTAACAAACCTCCTTCATTGACTAACTCTATACCGGCTCGTCGCAATATTCGCTCCCTCTCTCCCTCCTCGCTGGCATCCTCTGTTCTATCAGCTCTCCCTTCAACTGACTCCTTCTCACTCTTGCATCCGAACGCTGCTGCAGAGACTCTCCTCTCATCTCTTTCCTCCTCTCTAGACTCTCTCTGCCCTCTTACGACACGACGGACTGGCAAATCCCCTCCGGCTCCGTGGCTGTCTCAACCGGTCCGTGCCATGAGAGCCACCATGCGAGCGTCGGAAAGGAGATGGCGTAAATATAAACGACTCCTGACGACCTGCTTGAATTTCAATCTCTCCTCTCCTCGTTCTCTGCCTCTATCTCTGCTGCCAAAAGCTCTTTCTACCAGTCCAAAATCGAATCCTCATTCTCTAACCCCAAAAAACTCTTCTCGATCTTCTCCAATCTCCTCGAACCCCCTACCCCTCCTCCCCCCTCCACCCTTCTTCCGGGAGACTTTGTCAACTACTTCACCAAGAAAATAGCCGACATACGCTCCTCCTTCTCAAAACCCACCACCTACTTTTCGCGTCCCACCGACCTCACCTCTTTCGCCCTCACTTCCCTCTTTCACCGCCCTCTCTCCTAACCAAATTCTTACCCTAGTAACCTCTGCCCGTCCGACCACCTGCCCTCTTGACCCCATTCCATCACATCTTCTACAATCTATCGCACCTGACCTTCTTCCGTTCCTTACCTTTCTCATCAACAACGCTCTGTTATCTGGCTGTTTTCCCAATTCTCTGAAGGAGGCAAGAGTCAACCCTCTCCTGAAGAAACCCACCCTCAACCCTTCTGAAGAAAACAACTACAGACCGGTCTCTCTTCTTCCCTTCTTGTCCAAAACCCTTGAACGTGCTATCTTTAATCAACTCTCCTCTTATCTCCACTGTAACAACCTCCTTGACCCCCACCAGTCAGGTTTCAAGGCAGGCCACTCTACAGAGACTGCTCTCCTTGCTGTCTCTGAGCAACTCCACACTGCTAGAGCCGCCTCTCTCTCCTCTGTCCTCATCCTTCTGGACCTCTCTGCTGCATTTGACACGGTCAACCACCAGATCCTTATTTCCTCCCTTCAAGAACTTGGTGTCACAGGCTCTGCTCTCTCCCTTCTCTCGTCCTACCTCGATGGCCGCACCTACCGGGTAACCTGGCGAGGATCTGTGTCGGAACCGTGTCCTCTTACTACTGGAGTTCCTCAGGGTTCCGTGCTGGGTCCCCTCCTGTTTTCGCTTTACACCAACTCTCTTGGCGCTGTCATTCGCTCGCATGGCTTCTCTTACCACAGCTATGCCGATGACACCCAACTAATTCTCTCCTTCCCTCGCTCGGACACCCAGGTGGCGGCTCGGATCTCTGCCTGTCTAACTGACATCTCTCAGTGGATGTCCGCCCACCATCTGAAAATCAACCCCGACAAGACTGAACTACTTCTCTTTCCCGGAAAAGATTCGCTTACCCAGGACCTGACAGTCAACTTTGGAAACTCTGTGCTAACGCCCACTTCGACTGCTAAGAACCTCGGCGTCACACTCGACAACCAACTCTCCCTGACTCCCAACATCACTGCGACAACGCGATCCTGTAGATACACGCTCTACAACATCAGGAGAATACGTCCCCTTCTCACTCAGAAGGCAGCGCAGGTACTGATTCAGGCTCTTGTCATCTCCCGCCTGGACTACTGCAACTCCCTCCTGGCAGGTCTCCCTGCCACCGCCATTCGACCTCTGCAGCTCATTCAGAATGCAGCAGCTCGACTGGTCTTCAACCTTCCGAAATTCTCCCACACTACTCCACTCCTCCGCTCTCTTCACTGGCTACCGGTGGCCGCCCGCATCCAGTTCAAAACACTGGTGCTCACGTACCATGCTGTGAATGGATCGGGTCCAGCTTACATCCAGGACATGGTCAAACCCTACATCCCAACCCGCACTCTCCGCTCTGCATCTGCAAAACTACTCGTCCCTCCCTCACTGAGAGCAAAACACTCGACTAGGTCTCGACTCTTCGCTGTCCTTGCGCCGAAATGGTGGAACGAGCTCTCTGAAGACACCAGGACCGCAGAGAGCCTTCACATCTTCCGCCGCAAACTAAGACACACCTCTTCAGACTCTACCTCGACTAAAGACTAACAAATTGTAGCACTTAAATTGTACTTGTGACGTCACTCATCTATAGCAAATTGTAAATTCGCTTATTTGAGGAAATTGCACTTTCTTGTTTCTTGTTCTCCTGAGTTTGTACCCTATGGTTGAATGCACTTATTGTACGTCGCTTTGGATAAAAGCGTCAGCTAAATGACATGTAATGTAATGTAATGTAATGTAACGGCTAACGTTCCTGTGGAGGCCGCTGAGGGACTGCAGCGGAACCGATGGAGTCCTTTCATGTCGTCGTGCTTTGTTCTAATCTGCTCCACTGCTTTTCGGTTTGGTTCCAGCAGCTGAGCTCTCACACACACACACACACACACACACACACACACACACACACACACACACACACACACACACACACACACACCACAGCTAACTGGAGATAAACGCTGAGCCTCCTCCACATGTGGGACATGTATGCTGTGTGTACCACACGACGTGCTGGGTTATATAATAACAATCTAAGCCCGTATTGATGAGAGACAATGTTTTAATCAAGATCAGTAGAAGTATTAATACCACACAGTAAGAAATATCATGTGAGGGTAAAGATACTGTAAAAAATACACATCTTTTAGCAAACAAATTCACAGTATAAAGGATGACATTTTAAATAATACTTCAAACGTTTAATGGACCAAACAAAT